ACCATACTGGGTGAAGGGGAGGTATAAAGAAACACAAATTATGCTCAGACTGACTGTCACACAAACGTTGTGTAACTGATGGATCTGCTGACTCATCATGTTGTGGAAGCGCTGGCGGACATTGAATTTTAGGTTTAAGTTGAACTCACCCATGCAATTCTGGTACTTGCAGAAACAATGAACTATCTAAAGCGTCACGTTGTTTAGTTTCTATAGTTTGTTTCATATCACTCTTAAATTTGATTCTGTAAATAACTTACAGTACACATTTATTATTTCTGACTTTGCAATATTATACTACTTGTGTGCCTAAGTGGCTTCACCACTGTTACCGCATGATTATAAGGAAAACCAAACAAGTAACAAAGAAATGAAAAGGCTCAGATTAAGATACTTCATTAATTCTGGATAAAGTCGGCCCATAATTGACATTGCCTTTAAAGGTGGGGTAGGTAAGTTTGAGAAACCGGCTCGAGATACACTTTTTGTTATATTCCATGGAATGCTCTTAACATCCTGATAGCAATGAATATCTTAAGTGCTTTGACAAAAAAAAATCCATAAAAAAATGTCATCTGTGGAAGCCGTAGTACTTTAAAAAGCACGACCAATCATTTTAGCCAGCCCGGCTAAAATAACTGGATGGCCTACCTGCCTGTCAGCCTTCCATCTGTGCACAAACTTATCTCGTGCCCTCATTGGTCATGTGCGCGTTCGTGTGTGTTGGAGGAGGGGCTCTGTAAGGAAGTGGCAGATTTGTTCCGGTTGTGTATTTTCAAATTCTAGCGCACTCGAGCTGGTTTCTCCAAAATTACCTACCCCACCTTTAAGAGGTTCTTTCTGGAAAATAATCACATTTTTACTGGGACTAACATGGGATAAAGGGATAATTTTAAAACACCCACAGCATAAAATGAAAGAGGCTGACAGGAAGCTTTGGAGTTTAGGAGCACAGGACAATGTTGTCAGAACGCGCATGAGACTACTTTTGAACTGTTGATATAATTTCGATCTGTCAAACACATACAAAGATCACCTTAAATGCTCCTGGTACTAAGTTAAAGGCTAATTCCAGGACTGACCGTGACCCATCTCAGTTTGGGCATATGTGCCGATGGCCTGGAAGGACTCTGCCAGAGGTAACCACTTCCTGGCCTGCTCAGCGTCACACTGGCTGTACAGGGTGGGTAGAAACATGACAAAGTGGAGCCCCAAGGCCTCATGGAGGTTGCCTTGAACCATTCTGGGTGAAGGGAAGGTACAGGAAACACAACTTGAGTTCAGACTGGATGTCCCTCAAACGTTGTATAACTAATAGATCTGCTGACTCACTTTGTTTGAATTCTATGTCTAAGTTTATCTCACTCATGCTACTCTAAAATGTAATTCAGTGTTTAAACTGGAGGAATTGTTCGTCCTGTTACTGTTGTTTAGTTCAGTAATTCAGTGTTTAAACTGGAGGAATTGTTCGTCCTGTTACTGTTGTTTAGTTACTACGTCCAGTTTTACAATGATTTACTCCTCAAGAGGGCAATCACTTTGATTGCCCTCTTGAGGAGTAAATCATTGTAAAACTGGTGCAAGAGGTGCTTTTGTAATTCACATCTATCCTTTTTACAAGACACAGCATAAACATACAATATGTTGACAGAAAGCTTGGTAGTTCAGGAACAAAGCACAATGAACATTTAACCACATCTCTAAAATAGCAATATAACAAGTGATAATCTTTTACATTGCGTTAGGCTGTACACAGTCGACCTTTGACACAGTTTTAATCTTACATTGAACTTTGATCAGCCTACATTTATTTCCCTCTATGCCACACACGCTGATATTTACATAACCTTACAACTTTTCCCCAAAGTGATACAGAATGCAAAGCCTTCACAAAATGATTGTTCAGTTTTCTAATGTGCACACCGATGTTCCCTAAAAGTCTCATATACAGGCTGATGCCACGATAAATCATGTTCATTGACTTCAAAGATCCGCTTGTAGTATAAGGCTACGTCTCTGCATTACGATCGTTGTAGCTCACAGAAACATCACTTATTAAATCCACAACTTCTTTCTGTGGTAACTAGGATTTAGATATTGTTATTTTACCTGTATTTTAAATGTGAAATGGTAGTATATAAGCCAGGCATTGTTGAATCGCATATTTTTCTAGCCTAGTTAGCTATTATATATTATTATTGTTGGGGTTTTTCATTTTAAAATGCATTAGCACCTGCTATAAACATATAGTCCCCTGTACCTCCTGTGCTGTGCGTTATTGTGGGTCAGTAGCTGCATATAATTGCTGTTATAAACATAATAACGTCTTATGTGGTGTTTAAAACAAGTATGATAGTTGTCAAATATTAGCCTTCCCTAACCTGAGCCTCTCCCGCTGCCTATGATTGTATAGCATGTAATATGTCAGCCACTGACAAATTGCAAACTCTTGATACTGAAGGTATCCAAATAAGGTCATTGAAGTTTGCTTAAGTATAAAAGTATATTCAAATAGTACATATTGCAAAATCTAGCGTGTGGAAAACAGGATTTCATTGTTCATCACTTCCTTCTATTACATTTGGATTGTAAATGACTAACAATATGCATTTCTTATTTTTGACACTGCCATGTGATAAATGAATATCATTTTATTATATTCTTCATTTATGTTTCTTGACATTGCTTGCTAGACATGATTTTAGTGATAAAAATGGCACATTAGTAAATCTCCTCCAGCTAAAAAGGTTCAATTTGAGGTATTATGAAACAGTTGTTTCATTTAAGTCAGAGCCCTTAATTTGTAATACTTAAGATCTTTTTTTTTCTTCCACTTAACACTTTTCCCATAGGCATTTTGTGTCCGACTACCTTTGACTGTGTTGAGGCTTTTGTCCGACTACCTTTGACTGTGTTGAGGCTTTTGTCCGCCAGCTTATCTGGATCTACAGTATGTAAGCCAGACCTCACATGGACTCATCTTTACCACATACTTTTTGTAGCAGTAGATCTCTTCTGGGTCTGCAATGCCATACTCTCTGAGCTTCAGGATCATCTGGGCGCTTTTTCTAACAGCCTGGTCATAGCGGTCACTTCGAGACAGGAAGTTAGGGTCCTCCTCGCTAAAGTCCGGGTCGCTGAAAACCAGTGACTCTACATGGTGGGAATGGAATCAGAAATGTTTATTTAAGTCTACACATTCGCTGTAGTGTGTATAATACATTTCACATTTTAAATGTAGTGGACATTTTCAAAAGTCTAAGAATTTGTGACCCCTCGTGTGACTCTTTGTACGAAGATTTGTGAGTGTGTATCAACATTTGAAATGTGTAATAAGAAAATAAGTATGTAGATTTGTTCAAAAAAATAAACATAAATTTATATTTCTTCTAAGTGCCTTATAGTTCAAGAACCAACATTTCCATGCTGACGATGATCACAGTCTCTCTGCTGTACAAGATTTAAGCACATCAACTTTGAATAGCAATGAATACAATAAAAATAAGGACAACTACAAAAATACTTTTTTCTGAGGTCAAAAGAATTTTGCATAGTTTATTTTTCTAAACTGAAGGGGACTGGGTCTCCCTTACTATTGAGTTTGGTGCTTAAACCTGTCCAGACTTCTATTGTGAGCTTGATGGAACTTGCAAATATATGTACATAATTGTTATAGTATTTTAGTTGTGCCTTCTGCATATTCTTATTGTAACTTTTCAATTGTTTTCCCTTTTAATATGTTTATTGTAGGTAGCAAAGAACAGGGAAAATTCTTTGTACGTAAAACCCTCCGTGGCAATATATAAATATTCTGATTCTGTATAACTTGGTCTTCTCAATTAAATAGTTTCAACATGAATATATTTGGGGTTTGGACAGTTTTAAGACAAAAATAGACTTTTAAAGAAGTACATTTGGACTGTGTCTGGATTTTTTCACATGTTTTGTCGACAAGACAATATTCAGATTAATCTATAATGAAAATTATTATTATTTAAGGTCGTAGTAGGTTTCAATACAACTTTCTGCACAACAATACAACTTTCTGCACATTTAGGTCCAACTTAATGTACAAATAAATGTAAAATGTGAAGAGCTCAAAGCTCACCTGTTCAGATTAGCCTACTCACCCTAGCATTACACATCTAGTTTGCTCATTTAAATACTACTGTCATGTCCTTCCACATCTGTCTGCTTTTTAATCTATTGTCTATTTTTGTTTTGTCTACCCTGTAGCCTATGCATTTTATGTCTTGCTGTTAGAGTATTTATTTTATTAATAGTAAGGCGTCCTTGGGTGCCATGAAAGGCGCCTCGAAATCAACAGTATTATTATTATTATTATAAAACATCCCATATGTTTTTCTTTGCTACCTACACTGCTAGTATGTTTTGCCTGAACAAAATAAAGTAGCGTAAAGTTCACTTGTTCAAAAATAGGTGAAAATTACATAACTGGACTCTAAACTCATATATTTCAGTTTATATAATGAAAAAGTTTAGTTCAGTCTGGACAACTACAACGTTACCTAGTGGTTGTAGACAGGAAAGCTATTAGTAAACATCCATTGAAATAATTAGCTCGTTTTTCTCCCCTCAATAAGACTTTCTCAGGAAACATCCTTACCTAATCATCATATAAACGTGACGGTGTCGAGGTCAATAACACCTGATATTATAGGGCAAAGATGACACTTCAAACTCACCAATCTCTCGCCGTCTTTTGGTCTTTTCAGGCCCCCCGTCCAAAATGTACGTCAGTTTCTCGACGTCAAAAGTGGCATTTTTGCGCTCTCTCGTAATATCAGGATTCATGGTTCGGAATGCGAGTAAACACAATATTTATATTGAAAAACCTGTTAGCTGTGTTGTAGAGCCTCCTGCAACCTCAACAACCTGAAGGGTCCTCCTCACAAGGCCTCTTATTCCCACAACGCATGCGCAGAGAGGAGCGGGGAGGAGGAGACAAGTCATGTGACATGAACCCGGAAGTAGGGTATCCAAACTTTAACAGGCTTTATTGCCATGCTTTATTGTCATTATTCAACCATTTCTGAGTTTTCTTTCCAGTATGCTTCCCGCAGCTGCAGTTTTTCATTTCCCCTGGGAGATAAACAGTGGAGAAGTACAAGAAGGACTGTCAGTAAGAGTACTTGGCAGGTGGGTTTTGTTTCTGACAGACTCTTATCAGTTGTGATGCTCTGAATGCAAAACAAAATGTGTATTTTGCAACACATTTGTTTGGTACTGTTCACTCTTCTGAATGGGATTAGGAACAGTGGTATTAGTAGCAATGCAGGTTTCAAAAGTGAGATTACATTATTATTTATTTAGATCTGGTGTAATGTAAACTGAATGGAGAAAAAGCTTTGCAATCTTATTCTTTTCCGTTTTCACAGTAAGAATAAACATTTCAAAAATGTAAAAAGGGGTTTAGGCTGTCTCTAGTGTCTACTGTTCTTTATGGTGGACACACAGTTTAATCACCTCATTGTTCACCTTTTATAAACAGAATAAACCATTTCAAAATTCAAACATGGCCTAAAGCAGTCTTCGTACTCTATTCAAATCTGAACCCAACATTTCAAAAAGGATTATTGGTGAAAATGCATGCTTAGAATATCTTGTCCTGACCTCAAAGTCTTCCTTATAAAATAAAGTACACTATGGAAGTACAGCAAAAGTGTTGTTTATGCAGCAGGACGGCCCTGTCAGTATTTGATTATTACTGAAATCTGAATTGTTGAGTGTAGTTGTAGCCCGTCAGACGACTTTATGGGGTGCAATCTATAATAATGCATCATAATGTATAAGATGACCCTATTAAATGTAGGCTTCAGATAAAAGAATACATCTTAATACACCTGTTCAATTTTCCAGACTTGTCTGCTATCAGCCTGAGGAGTCCAGAGCCACGCTGTCGGCTCAGCATGCTTCAAAAGAGCATCAAGTGGTCGTCCACACGTTGTTTGTTGAGCCTTTTAACCCAATAATTGGGGCCCAGTATATTGTTCTGGGTGAGATTGAAAATGCTGAGGGTAAGTAAATACTTTCTTATCCATCTCTAATCCATCAAATTATAAATTAGATTTTTATACCAGAGTTTCTGTTTTTCTTGAGTCCATTTCAAAAAAGAAATTGACTGTTTATCTGGAAGAAGTATAGTGGTAGTAGGGCTGCTCGATTATGGCAAAAATCATAATCACGATTATTTTGGTCAATAATTGATATCACGATTATTAAATACGATTATTCATTGGCTTTGAAAACATCAATTTATTGAACTTTAAAACAAATAATAATTTGAACAGTATCTTTTTAACTGTTGATTACCCTGAACGTATAACTCAACTGAAAAACCAATACAAAAATGTATTAAATAAATGAAACATTTAAATAAATAATATAAAAATAATAAATACCAATAAACAAGATCAACAAATATTTTGGAGCGCACTTCCACAAGCTACTTAACATATATAAATAAAAATAAATTAGACTAAAATTAATTAGATCAAATATGTTGCAGTGCACTGTCACAACCTCGCAAAGCAAAATAATCGTTTTTTCGATGATGTTGTTTTTGTAATTGTGGCAGGCCAAAATCCTAATTGCGATTAAAATACGATTAATTGCACAGCCCTAAGTGGTAGTATATAATAGTATATCGTAGACATTTATACAATATAGTGTATGAGTATTATATGATTTATGATATGTTATGGGACACTAAATTCACTCTATAAGTGTAAAGATATTTATTATTGTATTATTCAGCTATCTTATAGAATTGATGTGTTGAAATAGAGCTAAAATCACAGCTCTTTAAATACTTGTGTTTGTTTATCTCAATTTCAATTACACTCTCATTAATTTCATTGTATCTTGTCATTCATAACATAAAGGAGTCTTGGTCTCTGCATCTTCTCTCCTTGTAGGGGTTGGTGCGATGGTCCGTGCCCGTGTGCTAAACTGCGTTGATGGTGTAAACGTCGCCCTTCTACAGAAAGCCATCAATGAGCAAAGGGGCTTCTTCAGGGAGAGGGAGCACACACCGGGTGATGCTGAACAAGCTGCACATGCAACCTGATCAGGGTCTCCTGAGTTTCTAAGGATGCTCGTTGAGTATCAGGACTACTGCTCTGCCTCTGAAGCTGTTTGCTAAGTAAACTTTTGGTTCACTGTAAAAGACTATCTTTTCTCTCTCTGACCATAACAGGTAGTTCATTCTGGGGTTTGCTAATTGATTATTAAGGCCCCAATGAATTTGATTAGCAAGATGGTTGGATGGTTGGTCAATGAAGAAATAAAAGCAACTGTTTTAGATCCATTACTTATGACAGGTGCAATAACGTGTTGAGACATCTGATATTATTTTAATGCTACCGTTTTATATGGTGGGACTGAGCACTTTTTTTTTACATGCTTTGAAAATTGTGTCATGTATGGGTCATGTTAGTTAGACCAGGGGTTCCCAACCCCCGGGCCGCGGACCGGTACCGGGCCGCGGAGGTGTTACTGCCGGGCCGCGAAATAGCTGTGAGTTTATCGTAATATTTGCAGAATTATAAATATATAAAAATATAATAATAATAATAATATTTTTTTCAAAAAGTGTTTAATTTTCGCGCCTATGCCACCAGTCATATTATTTCATCCAGTAGCTAATCTTTCACCAGAAAACCGTTGAAAATGGCTTTTATGATGTTCCGAGGGATTCGGCGGCTCAGTCTAAGGTCTCAGCCTCTTGTGCGCACGAGAATGTTACCGGTGCGGTCTCTTTAACATCTACATGCTACCACTGGCTCAGATAATGAAAAACAACAAAATAAGTTACCATAGCTATGCGGATGACACACAAATTTACGTAACAATTTCACCAGGAGACTATGCTCCAATTCAAACACTGAGTAAGTGCATTGAACAAATCAATGACTGGATGTGTCAGAACTTTCTCCAATTAAACAAAGATAAAACTGAGGTAATGGTTTTTGGAGCCAAGGCAGAACGTATAAAAGTTAGCGCTGAGCTTCAGTCTGCAATGTTCAAAACAACAGATAAAGCCAGAAATCTAGGTGTAGTCATGGACTCTGACCTGAGTTTCAACAGTCACATTAAAACAGTTACTAAATCAGCCTACTATCACCTAAAGAACATATCTAGGATTAAAGGACTAATGTCACAGCAGGATTTGGAAAAACTTGTCTATGCTTTTATCTTCAGTAGACTGGACTACTGTAATGGTGTCTTTACAGGTCTCACTAAAAAATCTATTAGAAAGCTGCAGCTAATTCAGAACGCCGCTGCTCGAGTCCTCACTAACACTAAGAAAGTGGATCACATCACTCCTGTTCTGAAGTCCTTACACTGGCTTCCTGTGTGTCAAAGAATAGATTTCAAAATATTGTTGCTGGTTTATAAAGCTTTGAATGGTTTAGGCCCAAAATACATGTCTGACCTACTGCTAAATTATGAACCATCCAGAACTCTCAGGTCTTCAGGGACTGGTCAGCTTTCTGTCCCCAGAGTCAGAACTAAACATGGAGAAGCAGCGTTCAGTTATTATGCTCCAAATATCTGGAACAAACTCCCAGAAACCTGCAGGTCCGCTGCAACTCTTACTACTTTTAAATCCAGGCTGAAGACTTTTCTTTTTGCCGCTGCTTTTAATTGAACTATTCAAATCTTAAACTGCACTGTAACTTTTAACTTTTATCCATGTATTTTTTCTTTTAATGTTTATTTTATTATCTTTTCTTTTTAATGACTGATTTTAAATGCCATTTTTAAAATGTCTTCCATTTTTGTAAAGCACTTTGAATTACCTTGTGTTGAAAGCAGGGGCGGACTGGGACTACAAATCAGCCCGGGACTCTCGACCGGCCCACTTCGGTACCGCCGGCCCACCTCGGTAAATGATCAACGGGGGGGTGGGGGGTGCTAGTGAGTTATCCGAGCGGCTCACCTCGGTGCCGCAAGTAAATACCGCGAGGAAATTGTCGACGGGGGGGTGCTAGTGACTTATCCGACCGGCCCACATCGTCCGACCGGCCCACTTCAGTACCGGCCCATCGGGATTCGTCCCGAACGTCCCGATGGCCAGTCCGCCCCTGGTTGAAAGGTGCTATATAAATAAACTTGCCTTGCCTTGCCTTGCCTTGCCTTGCCTTGCAGACTGTTATGTTTATGTGGGGAAATGGTGGTGCATACATTATTTGAGATATATTTCAAACTCGGACTTTATTTTAAGGACATGTCGGCCAGGGGTGTAGAGCTATTTGTTTAAGCACCGGATTGGCAAAACAGGAGAGTAAACCAGTCTGCCTTGATCTATGAATTAATGTCCGGGACTCTCACGGTATCTGCTGCCCGCAGCTGTTTTATAGAAGGAAAACCTCCTTCACTTCATGAAATGGCTGCAGCATCAGGAGGCAGCGGGACACACACACACCTCTACACAAATCGAACTGCCCGATTACTCCCCCTTTTATTAGTTTTATGAAGGAGATGTCCAGTCAGTCACCAAGGCGCATGATGTGTGTGTGTATGTGCTCTGCTCAGCTCTGAGTGTTCGGTGTGTTTGTGTCTGTCCGACACCGGCATTTGTTTTCAAACACACACACACCCACCCTTCATAATGCGACTTTTTACTTCTTACATTTTTAACACAAATACCTGTACTTTCTACTTCTTACATTTTCAAAATATGCTCGTTACTTTAGTTTTAATCTGCATTTGGTGGCGTGATCATTATTATTTAGAGTCATTGAGTGCCTATTGATTTTAACACGATGCGTGTATCCATCATTTCCTGGTCTTCTCTAAAGAAGAGGGACGGACCAATGAAAACGTTGTCGTTGTTCAGCATCGAAACATTCATTAGCTAACAATGACATTATTGTTCTATTAATATAAAGGGAGGTCAGTTACTTCTATATCTGTATCTGTACTTCTACTTGAGTAAAGGATGTGATACTTTTGCCATCTCTGTTGAGATATCAGAAGTTTACTGAATTATAAATGCTAAGCAATCCAATTGAGCACATTGTACTAAGTAAATATATAGGATATCCAAATAGGATGAAGCTGGTATTACATTAAAAGTAAATGATGAATACCCGTTGTACCTGCCTGTGTCTTCTTAAAAAAAATACAACACAACACTGAAGGTCCATGCTTTTTAACGATTATAATTGAATTTATTGATATTTGTTTCTTCATAAAGTATCAAACAAGATTGAGTTTAAAGTCAACAATGTCAAGGATAACCAATGAGTAATACAGAATCAAATCAATCTTTGTAATTAGCATTGCACCATGTCCCATTATCCCTCATAACACAATAATATCAAAGATAAACTGAATTTATATTCTCTGTTTTTAAATAAAATAAAATAAAACACATCTGCCCACATCAGATATGTTTAGTAAACAAAGGCAACACAGCAGCAAGCATTTTGGCTAGTGAGAAAGCATTGCATTAAAAGACTTTTCCTGAGTCAAAATGTACATTGTAATTATAATATCTAATAGCAGATTTTTTTTATCACATCACTCCACAGATCAGATAACTCCAACTCTGTTGTAAACACATCTAGAATCTTGCATATTTAGTAGAGTTGTAACCAGAATCTTTGGAGGAGGCAGACAGCATTGGTAAGCCTGAGACGGGGTCTTTCTTACAGCGATCCAGAGCTTGTTTGTAGTTGATCTTCTCCTTTGTGATTGGGTCTACAATATCCTTGATGTATGTCGTCTCAGCCTGCAGCTCCCTCATCATTGTGCTGTCGATCATTTTGGACCCAATGGCATCAAAGAGGCTCATTCTGCTGCCGGTAGTGGGAATGACCAGCCCACCCGTCAGGTGCTGTGCCTCCATGTAGCGGATGGCCGTGTCCTTGGGCATCCAGCCTTTCTGTACAGCTTCTCCCACGGACAAAACCTCTCTGGTCATGGGGTCTTCAACACCAGTGAAGGCCTTTTGTGCATTGAGTAGCCTCTGGACTTGACTGTCCTCAATGAGGCCTCTTGATGTTGCCTTCTGAACTGTGTATCTCTGATTGTTGCTTATGTCGATGATGCCCCCTGTTGATGCCTGTGCCTCCAGGAGTTTGTGGGCGGTTCCGGAGTCGATCAGTTTACGCAAGGTGGCGCTGCGAATTGTAAAGCAGGTGTCAGTGTTTGTGTCTATTACTCCAGCAACTGGGTAGATTTCTGTAGTGGTGGAGAGGTCCCGGGGGGCTGAATTCACTGTTGTGGAGGTTGTGTGGGTGATTGAGTTGAACTGGGGTGGCTTATTTTTATCACCCGCAACCAGCAAGGCAAACTCTGAGATGGGCATCTTGCCTTTTTTATACTGTTGTAGATCATACTCTGTCAGGCGGCCTTCCTTCAGGGCATCTTTGATTGGGTACTGCTTTCCACTTTTGCGATCTTGGAGTACAGATGTCTCCCCATCAGGTCCCAGGGAAGTAACCTCCTCCCAGTCACACTCCAGCTCCTGCAGGTTTATGTACTGTTGACGATCAATCAGGCCCTGCATGTAGGCGTCATAAGGGGACATGTCTTTGCCTGTATCTGGATCCAGAATGGTGATTTTGGTAGACACATTGGTCTCTTTGGTCCTTGTCTCTGCTTGTTCCTCTTTCTGCACGTTCGTCAGGAGCTCCCGCATCATGCTGTCTCGCTGATGGATTCTGTCTTTTTCTTCCAGGATCTCTCTCTCCAGACGTTGAGCATCAGAATCCATCTTAATGCTCTTCTGCCTTCCCATCTGCGATCTTTCACTAATTAGCCTGCTTTGCTGCTGGAAAGACAAGCTGATGTCATGTTTTGAGGCTTCGAGGGTCCTGAGTTCCCGAGTGAGGTTTTCTTTCTCCCTCTGAAAGACATCTTTGTTGGAAACAAGAGTAGATTCCTCTCTTGAAGAGCTTGATTTCCCGCTCATCAGAAGGTTGGTTTTAGAGTTGAGACGTCTGATGTTCTCTTCAAGGTCTTGTCTGTCAAATCTTTGCTGAGACATCTGTTCCCTCAGGCGATCCCTCTCGGATTCAACTGCCTGGTCTTTCTCAACACGGATAATCTCTTTGTACACTGTCTTCTCACCAGACTTTTCCCTCTGCAGGATTTCTAGCTTATGAGTGATGTTACGGATGTCTCTCTGGATGTGCAGAATATCGCTGGTTTGCTTATCCATGTCTGACCGAACACCGTTTGTCATCCTCTCCAGTTTTGGGTCTCTTTCAACCTTCAGTACTTCCTCAACAACAATACATTCCTCAACGGGAGGCGGGGCATTTTCAAGATGTGTGATGCGCAGTCGGATCTCTCTGAGTTCAAACTCAGCTTGAACCCTCTTTTGGTGCTCATCACTCTCTCTGAGGATCCTCTGTAACTCTTCCACCTTGGTCGTCAGCTGCTGCATCTCGAGGTTAACCTGGCGGCGGGTCATTACTTCGTCGTCCAGGCTCCTGCTGAGCCGATCATGCTCGAGCATCTGCCTTGGGTCCTTCTGTAAACGTACAATCTCCTG